TTAACGTCACGCAGCACATTAATTACAATAAAAATTAATTAAAAAATTGGTCAGAACTAAAACTTTCCACATGCAGCACGCAGCACATTAATTACAATAAAAATTAATTAAAAAATTGGTCAGAACTAAAACTTTCCACAAATAAGTTTGTCAATGTATTTTTTATGACATGTAGAATGCGTTGCATATCTATATTTATATTTTAATATCTCTAATGTTCACCTTATAATATTCATATTTGTCTTGCAATGTATCTTTGTATTTCATCAGCATGTACATGATTGTTTTCCCTCTCTGTCCATCTGTCCCCTTTCTCCCCTCTCTCTCTCTCTCTTTCTCTCTCTCCTGCTTTCCCATCTCTCTTTCTTTTTAACTCAAATTTTTAAATTGAAATATTGTATAAGATTAATGGTATATATACACGCACTTCATAATTATGTAGATTGTAGTGTGACATCTTGAAATGTATACTTGCTTTTTTCCAGCAATTTACTCATGTGCAATTCAGTTACTTTTTTACTGTGATATCTCTTGAAATGTATAATTGTCTTCACCATCAATGTTTTATTCATGCACAATTCAGTTACTTGTAACTGCGATACATGGAAATGAACCAATAAATACCATTTATCTATCTATCTATCTAATATGATCATACCAATTCAGCTCCACTTTAAAAAAAACATGGTGACCGTTAATTAATTATTTAATTAAAAATAACAATACATGAGCCAGCTAATTGTGGTTAGTATAAGCAACATGAAAATGCCAACAAAAAAGCCAACATCGGCATTGGCTGAAATTTTTCAAATTTTTCAAAATATCAAATATTTGTGGTGGTACACAAGTATTAGGAATCGTTATATTTCAGCCGTCTCTGAACCAATTTTGATCGAACAAAGATGATTTTGTCATTTAAATATTATGTTCTTTCAAATTTGACACTAAATTTTTCATTATCTCACAAAAAATTATTTTGTGTAGCGCCCTCTGCAACAAAACTCAACTATCCCTTTAAACATGTGAGAATGAATACAAGTTACAAGAGCATATACTTTTACGTTCAAATATCAAGAGATAAAGATCATAATGCGCACACTGGTACAGGATTCCTCAAAAAAGTTCTTTGACGGACATTGTAATACCATCAAGGCCTGGATGACAGCACAGCTTGCTATTTGCATGAATATGACATCGCATGTTTTTATCTCCAACTTTAACAATTATATGGAGAGTGAAGACTTTTATCCTGTTGTATTCACTAAAGATCGATCCCGGCCCCCCCCCCCCCCCCCCACCCCGGAGTAGGAGGGACCACAATCTCCGGTAAAGGGGTACTTTTCACGCAACAAAGTCCAGTCCGTAATACACAAATTGACTTTACACACTAGAAATAGGGGGGTGCTTTCAAAGGGAGGAAACATGCATGATACATGTACCCTAAATAACACTGAGTGGGGGGTGGGGGGGGGGCTGGAATGAGGATCTGAGACATTACGGTAGATAACTTCACACAGGCGCGTGCCCGTCCGCAACCCACCATCAGTATGCACTTGTAGTGTGCAGCGGTTTGCCGTGAAAAAGTGTATACTAATATCATAGTTTTTCTGAAAAATACTCCAAAAATAACAAGAAAATTGACACAAAACAGGTAATAAACATTTCGACTTTTAACTCATGATCTTTATTTGGACATTTAATGAATATTTACTTCATTTTGGGTATGTTTTAGTAGGGTATCTCCAAGCCGGAGTTACAGGTCAACTTTAGGATAGGTTTCTGAACAAGCGCCAATATTTAAGCCTACCTTGGCTTTACGGCTTAATACCAATTGGGCCAACTGTATTTAGCCATGTTCCACCACTTTCTAATTTGATGACGTTTTTTCAAAATGAAGGGAGACCTCACCGCCCGATTACATCGCATTTGTTTATCGTTAATTGGATCGGTTGTTAACACAGGTCAGCGGCAGAGACACGAATGAACGAGCAACAGGCTATCTGCGCATGCGAGATAGACAGCCACTCGTAATTAAGATATTGGGCAACTGCTTTAGTCTAAATGACGTCACTGGTAGAGTGTCCGCAACGATGGCTTTTTGATTTTATCAATATCAGGAGGAGAAAACTATAAGCAGTTGTCTCTCAGAAAGGGGGGAAAAGGGCTTTAATTTATAGAAGTAGACTCTAGACTATCTAAGTTTATGAAATTTCTTTCCATTTTATTTTTAGTATTAAAATCATGATGTACCCCAAAATGGTATGTGATCAGATGATTCAACCTAATGATTTGATAGTCCATGTTATGTTGTAATAGTAGTAGGGAGGCCAATACCCAAATCTAACTTTTTAATTACTAATCTAATTATAATAAAACAAAGTTTAAAAGCAAGTATTTTCTTTCACTAAGACAAATCATCCATCTGCCGACTCCAGAAGTTCCATAAAATAGGAGATATCCAGCTCTAAAGTACATATGTAGGCCCTTCCTTCTACGCCTATCCGTACGTAAGAGCCTTGAAACAATCATATTTCATGTCGCAAAATTACGTTCATAATAGACAGGCCCAAGGGGATAGGCATGTCATTGCCCGGACAACAAGTTCAAAACTTCGCGCGAAAGTACATTCATCATTAGCAGCTAGCCTTGAATGGGTCACACACACCGATACGACATAGGCATTGCAAGCCGCAGTCCTGAAATCGAGCCATGGAGGCAAGGGACAAAACATGAACAGAGAGAAGAAAAAAATCAACGTAGATCTACGTGATTGTACTAATATAATCCAAGAAAAGAATTAAAATTATTAATTAGGCCTACCTTAGTTTTGAGTGGTATACCAATTTACCAAATCCAATAGTAATTCCTCATGAGTAAAGATCAATCTGACACTGCATTATCAACGATCGAGAAGTTACGAGGTCCAATTAACATCCATCTTGCAGCGAACATAATACGGAGTACAATAGGACAGCAGTGTGAATGCAACGTACGTACGTACGTGTACTAATATTTCTCTCACTCTCTCTCTCTCTCTCCCTCTCGCTATACGTAACATACACACTCACTAACCATGTATCATACAACACACACCTTCAAATCATGGCTTTCATTTCAATTCTCAATTGAATTATAGACTGCTCACGTAGACTTTTTTTTTTTACTGAAATATCTTTTTTTAACACTTCTCATGTATACATTAATGAACGACACTCATATCTAGTGCTGTGAGAATAAGGTACTAGGGTCTATAAAGAAGACTACGCTTTGGCACGATCTGACCGGAGCTCAGACATATGTCGCAATACCCTTTATTTTTGGCGTGAACAATGACGTCACTGTTCACAGTTTTCCTTCTCATTTTGAGATGGATGTAGCTATATGGCTCAAACCAACGCAAGATTGACAGAAACATCGTACTCTATTTACCTTTGAATGTTCAGTTTATAAAAATCTGTATTTAAAAAGATATAATCTTTTTTCTTTATATTTTCTAGTTGTTAGAAGTGGCAATTGTGAACATCTGAAATGTTGATCTCTATCAAAAGTTCTTTACTCAAAACGGATCCCATATTTTTAGGGTCTACCTTCTGCCAATGAGAAGGTTTTTAGTGAGCAAACCTCTATGCCCTCTAGGATTTTCTTAGTCTGTGGTGCGTGCGCTTCATGTTCTTCTGCTACAACAATTATTGGATTCAAATACGTCAAAATCTGCAAGATCGTCAACAATTGGTGAAAGACTGTTACAGATCCGTGATTATAGGTATGTTGTGAAATGTATAATTGTAGATCTATTTTCTTTTCTTATTTTCATCAATTTTTATTTTTACATCATTTTTTTCCCTCTGCTAATTTTTTGAAGTGGACGACGAGCGCACAAATCATAGGTGTAGAAGCCTTACGCCTGGGCATTGGCCTCCCTAATAGTAGAGTTTTTTACTGGTAGTCTATAGCCATTATATTATCATGATCAGAGCTAGACCGAAAGCTTCAGTCTCTATAATCGTCGGTTGTTCCACTGAGACTACGTCTGGCTCCACTAGACCTTCGGTTATAGAGACTGAACGATCGCCTATACCATCGTATGTTGAAGATATCACGGCTAGATTTTAGCCACTAGGCCCCTCCCACAAACATGACAAACTTGCCACGGCCGTATTGTTATGCCCCCAAAATGTCATTTTACCTCGTCCATATCCAATTTTAAATTAGGCCTAGGCTATAATACATTGGTTCCACTTACTAACTTGATTGAAATAATCCGTTTAATGGTCCCTTTGTGCGCCATCTACACGTTCGTAATGGCGTTATCACAGTTTTTCCTTCATAATCATTTTGCCTTCGGCGTAGACTAGAAGGGATGAGATTGACGGCAGCGAGAGTTTAACACGGCTTGCAAGATTTTCAACATGGATGTCGATTTTGACCCATAATTTCCTTAAAAGGGACCATTAAACGGATTATTTCAATCAAGTTAGTAAGTGGAACTGATGTATTATAGCCTAGGCCTAATTTAAAATTGGATATGGATGAGGTAAAATGACATTTTGGGGGATTTTGGGGGCATAACAATACGGCCATGGCAAGTTTGTCATGTTTGTGGGAGGGGCCTAGCGGCTAAAATCTAGCCGTGATATCTTCAACATACGATGGTATAGGCAATCGTTCAGTCTCTATAACCGGAGGTCTAGTGGAGCCAGACGTAGTCTCAGTGGAACAACCGACGATTATAGAGACTGAAGCTTTCGGTCTAGATTAGATCACTGATTAGATCACAGGGCTGGCCTGACCTGGACCGGGTCGCGGAGAAACGTGGCCCGGAGAGCTGGGCATACTTGACAGGGGATAGCCGCTGCACTGTAACGTTGACTCGGCCTCGGCTTATACTCGCCTGCCGATATCCAGACCTGTCAAATATAATACACACGCTGGTTGCATTAATACCGATTATCCTACTTGTTCAGATAATAACATTTTCATAAAATCATAATATTTCTTACCCTATTTCAGGCTATTTGTTGTTCCTCTTCATGCACAGCCACAGGTGGTACATAAGATCCGAGGTCAGTCAGTATGATGATTGTTTACAATATTGGAATGAGTTTATTTGTTCAGTAGGGAGGACCTGGTTAGGGATAATTTGTAATTTCATTTTCTATGTATTGCAAAAATTAAGTCTAAACTGAATTGATAGCAATATTATATAATAGGACCTAATTTTAATCTAAATGCTGAGAGTAATAATATTTTTAATAAAAATACCAAAATATATATATATTTTTCGCTGTACATATAATGGATCAACCCAAATTTATTTCCTCCACTCCCAGGTTGTAGAAGATAAATACATATATGTACCGCCTGGTGACGTGAGCGGCGCTGTGGCTTAGTTGGCAAAGCGCCTGTCTAGTAAACAGGAGATCCCCGGTTCAAATCCGGGCAGTGCCTTTTTTGTTTATTTTTCAGCGTCCCTTTTCCTTTTGAAGCAAAGTTTTGGTATGGGGTCATGAATTTGGTTCAAATGAACATATTGGAAGCATATGCGATCCGAAAATATTCAGTGATCGTTGTAACGGTTGAAATCGTTGTAAAAGTTATGATATTGTCAATTGTATATACTTGCTGCAAATTTTTTGGAAAGTTACATCAAAGAAAACAAATTTGAGAGATGTGAAAGGCCTTCCAGATGATAAGAAAACACAACCAGCTTCAACTTGGGGTCAGATACATTTTACCATCTTTGCTAATCACGCCTCTTTAATCAGACTGGTAGAATTACATCCTTCAAATACATATTATTTTAAGATCTTGATCTTTAGCTCTCTCTCTCTCCAGTTATCCATATCTCTTTAATTCTCACTCTTTTTGTCTCAACATCACCACCATCTCTCTCTTGTTCTTGATAACTGCCTCTTGTTATCTCTCTTTCCCATCAACTATCAATGGTTCTCCGTTTATCTCACTTTGCCTCTCCCTTTCTTGTCTCCCTCTGTTTAGTACCTCTTTCTCTCTGTTTATCTCTATTTCTTCCTCTTTCTCTAGATGTAACTCTCGCTAATCTTCTCTGCAACATGCCCCTCAATTCATACCTATTCTCATTAACATTATAATCTATTATCAATGGGACAAAAAAGGATGAAACTTCCACAAAATCAAATACCACAAATCACAGATGAATAGCCAAGTATATATTTCTCTTGACATTTTTATCATTAAATAGATTACATATCAAAAGTTTTCATTCAAATAATTATTCAAAAAAGGATGAAACTTCCACAAAATCAAATACCACAAATCACAGATGAATAGCCAAGTATATATTTCTCTTGACATTTTTATCATGTATTAAAGAGACTACATATCAAAAGTTTTCATTCAAATAATTATTCATCAAACTGTCTCAGCTCCCTTCATTGTACACAAATTACCTATTCCACAATCTACCTATGACAAAACAACCAATGTTGTGTCAATTTTATCAAGATATCAAAAAATGTAATCCACAATTTTCTGAAATTTTACGTCACAGGGAAGACATGCTCAGCACTAGAGTGACAAGGTGCCTGCTATAAATCAATAAAACCAAAGCAGTGCGAGCCTCGTTATTTGGCATGAATGAAGAATGCGCATTAATCGCATACTGATGAGCGCCATCTATGTGGGTGTCTTCCCAGACTACATATTAATTATTTACCAGTAATTCATTTGCTCTTGGCAGACACCATGACCATGCAACTTTTGCCATTCTGATCTGGTTTTTATCTCATTGCTCAACCTTAGATTCATATTGCAAACCTGTTTTATAAAACAAATGATTAATTGCTTTGAAGCTCGTGCATTAGTGATATGCACTGCACTCAGTTAGGTCACAATAAGCTGGGTAATGAACTTCACAACTCTCATTCATCATCTGATTTTGACTTAGCCTGCAGGCGGTGCATATCCACTGATGCAGTCATTTCTCAGTTTGTTATATTCACATAGCTAACCCATTTTGATAAACAATTAATTCATGTTTTGAAGCTCATGGTTTACTGATATGCACTACACTCTGTAGCAGCGCGAGAGAGAGAGAGAGAGAGACTAATATGTACCATTTGTGTAGAGTCTTGAGAAACAAAAATGAGTATAAGAAATATAAAAGAAAGTCGCATCAATCAATGTATTAAAATTTACAACATATTGTAGTAGAGACGATATAAACCCCATAACTAGCATTACACCATATCATACTTCTTTCTCAAAATACTGAATGATAATAATGTAATTTTCGAGGCAAGCAAATTAAATACAATATGATTTTAAGCATAATAATGATCGCAAGCAGTATGTCCAATCAATCAAAATAAGATACTAAATATAAAGAGATATTATCTAAAATTCTAAATGCCAATAATGAATCATTCTTTATTAGCATATCCAGTAATGGGAGACATATTGGACCAATATTGCCTTAAACCTTAAGTCCATCAATGGAAAAAACACAAATCTCACATAAATGGTCATAATTTAACAAAGGCTTTCAACCAAAAACCTGCATATATTAATTCTTTTCTACAGCTGTCTCGTATATTGTATAATTTTAAGTCAATGGAATATATTATGACCTCGAAATTGTGTATCTGAATCGTATCATCTCATGTTCTTATTTGACAAAACCTGGGCCATTTCATAACACTTGTTATCAATAACAAGTTACAGGTGTTTTTAGCGCTGTTTCTCATTGGAAGACAACGCTGGAGACATCACAGTAATGCTCCACAAAATGAACCTCAAGGCCCCCGGTGATGAAGATATTCTTGTTTCATTTGCTATAATGGCGACTGGCCAGAATGCTCCCCAGGGAGTGGAGAATGTGTATACATTGTGTGCGGGTAAGCCTGAATCCGATAACCGGGATAATAAGATATCTGTAAAGGGCTTAGACACATCGTTGATGTATTGGTCGCTATATAAAAAAAAGCGGAATATATACTAATATATATAATAGGAGTAGGGAAGAATATATGTAGATGCACTGGTTGCTTTAGTGTATCGTTCTGTTTTGTCTGGAGGTGTTTCTAGAGCTGTGTCTCATGGAAAGACAATGCTGAAGACATCACGGTAATGCTCTACAAAATGAACCTCAAGGCCTTCGGTGATGAAGCTTGGTAAATCTGAGAAGTCCTTCCTGTTTTCAGCCGGCAAGATGATGCAATCCACCCCAGCTCGCTTGGCCTGAACAAAAGACAATTAACAGAATTTCAAACGTCTGTGATGGTCATACATGCATATTCTGTGTAAAACAGGCAGCAGATCTTGCCCAGGAATTTGGAGATTTTATTACAAATGTTTGAACTAAGAAGAGCTATCGAAAATAATATCACTAGTGACATTCGTTTGTCTTGCAATGTATGGTCAACAAGGGATCCCAAAGATCAGAAGAGCTAGTTGCTCCTTCCTAAAAACTGGCACGGATAAATGCACTGTGAGGTACAAAAAAGTAATACCTACCAACAATTTTCCTCTGAGCATTATAATAACCATTCTTCAAGAAAGAATGGAGAAATTATGTCATATAATTGGGGAAAGGGATTGCGTCACAGTATAATGTATTCCACATGATTTATTGCACTTAATATTTCTAGTTGGATGTCTGTAAAATAAAGTATGAAGCAAATATGTTTCAACAAGTCATCACAGAAAGATAACCATGCAAACATTACAGCTTCTATAATGTGTGGGACCCTATATACAAACAAAGCCCATTCTGACAGTGTAGAGGTGTCTTGGTCGAGTGGATATATTGTCACTGGACTGTGAATCACAAGGTCTGTGGTACTAATGTCCATTGGCAAGACATTGATCTACATTTGCCACTCTCCACCAAGGTTTTAAATGGGTACCCCTTGGGATGTGAAAGTTAATGTGCTTAGATTAGCAAGTGTGCGCTTGTAAAAATGACGCCTGGCTGGAATGCTTCTCAGGGAATGGAGAATGTGCATACATTGTGTGCGGGTAAGCTTGAATCCAATGAACAGGGTAATAATATATATCTTTAAAGCACTTTGAGAGGGCATGCGGTCCTGAAAAGCACTAAATAAGAACGAACTATTATTTTTATTATTTTATATTTATTACTTACAGCTATGGTCTTTTCCTTGATGCCACCGACGGGTAAGACTTTCCCTGTGAGAGACACCTCCCCGGTCATAGCCATGTTCTGCCTGATTGGTCGACCCATAGCCAATGAGAGGAGAGCTGATACAATGGTGCAGCCTGCACTGGGACCATCCTTTGGGGTGGCACCCTGACAATACAAAAGATATTGACAAAATTATAATGTAGGCACACGTTTTTTTTCCATTGTCATTAAAATCCATGATGGCGGCTCGCATGTTTTGCCTCTTCTCTTAGACTAATATTATAAGTTAAAAGTCATGAAAAGGCACTTAATATCAACAAACATGGTCTACAACAACTCTAAATGACAAAATAATCCCAGCTTTGCATATTTTTGAAAGTATTTGATAGCTCAAAACTTGGAAATGTTCAATAAATTTGTTTTTTAAAAACTGTTACTTTTGCCGATACCGATCAAAGGTGCGAGGGTATTGATCCGATCCGATCAAAGCCCCAACTTACAGGGTTAATTGAAAATAGTGATGAAGTTGTAGGAATTGCTGATATATGCCTCTTGAACAGGTAAAACTTTTTCTTAGTTCATGCAAAATAATCCAGATCACATTTCATTCAATGATACTGAAGGATAAGTAGACTCTTACAAAATTGTCACCTTTCATAGAAAATGTATTTTGATTACATCTGTGGTATATGTAGGCAACCAGTTTCTCTTATTTTCTTTTCCTTTTCTTCTTAGTGAAGGCTGACAAAAAGAGTCAATTGATAAAAGAAGATGGTCTTAAATTCTAGCTATGATGTAATAGTGTCAAAGAATCATAACTTTATTTCCCTGTACATTAACTACAAAATAACTTCTTTTTTTTTTTAAAGTGACAGAAATAAATAGAATCAATAGAGCAAATCTAAAATTGGGTGCCCATATTTGTTTTGGCTGCAGATTCATAACAAATAAACACACATAGATATTAATACCTCTGGAACATGGAGATGTACTTGAGAAGACTGCAGCGATGTACCACCCTCCTCTGGCGGGTGATCCAGAAGGAATGACTTGGCGAATGTGTAGGCGATCTCGGCACTCTCCTTCATCACGTTGCCAAGGTTACCAGTGAGCTGCATTGCTCCACCGCCCTCTTTCGATTCAGGAGTAAGGCTCCTAGAGAGACAGGTCTCAATGTAGAGGGTAGAGCCACCTGAAAAAGAAGGGATGCATTTGAAAATGGATGCATGACATGTAAATCACTGTGAATACTGGGGCTATGCATGGCTGCAATGTACATGTATACATGAATCAAACACAATGATCAAATACATGTAGCATGGGCACAATTCGAAGTTATGTGCAAATATTAAATCATCATGATGCAGTTGCCTTCTACTCATGGCATGTTTCATTCAAACTGAGAATATTTTATTCAAAGTAATGAAAGGTACAGGTTTAAATGATATCCAAATGAATAAACCTTTGGTCACAGTGGTTTTAATTTGTGACGACATCCTTTACAACACATAATCTATCCTTTCGTGAGCAAAGACATTTTTATCAGGTCCTGGAATTAGTCAGCTTGGCGTGCTCTCTTAATGATAGCAAAGTAATTTGTCATAAAATATTGATGATTACAATGCAATTAGTCTACATGCAATAATTCATTGTCTATGTTTGTCCTTTATCATTGTCAAACAAAACTTTGTTTTGTGGGGTATGACAATTCTCTTCTCACAGCTGTAGGAACATTTTCCATAATAATCTACCAATGGCAAAGATTCAATTACCCATTGAGGTCCAGGCGAGACCCATGACGACTCCTACTGGTGTCTTCTCATACATCCTATCACTGGTGAATAGAGGCTTGCCGACAAACTCATGAAGGTTCTCCATGGTTACATGGATAGAGTCGGCAGAATCGTGAACCATCTTGTAGGCAGCCTTGCGATAGATCTAGCATGAATGGACAGCAATCAATTAAACTTTAATGGTTTAGACGTTTTACAACACTTTTTTAGAGTTTATTTTCTTCACTTTCTACCATCTAAAGTGCAGTTATTTAAAGCCCTTCTGCACTAGTTTGGACAGGAGGGATTAGACCTCCCTTCGTTGTCACTGGCAGGTGGTTATCTCATCAAACCAGCTCTCAATTAACATAAGAAAAAGGGACCATATGGGATCAATGGGTACCACATACGATAGGCATTATTGGCTATATAGAGGGGTCAAGTAGCTACAAGTAGTGTGGACCTGCTTTAAAGAAAAAATGATATCTAATTCTTAATTGAAAATAGTTTTTCATTGTTAATTCTGCTATCTGAATAAAGTTATTTCAATGTGAACTTGTAAACATCATAAGTATGAAAGTTGTATTTAACTCTGTTTGCTGAAATGTATTTTTCAAAGAACCAAAATAAATGATTTGACTGGATGAGTGAATGTAATTACCTTTTCAATATGTTTCTGTAGGTTTCTGACTCCACTCTCCCTGCAGTAAGCCTTGATGAGCTGATTCATAGCATCGGTATCTATGGTAACCTGGTCCGCTATACCACTGTGGTCTCTTGCCATAGGAACAAGGTATCTCTGTGAAGGGAGAGAGTCCAGATGAGACGTAAAAAAAGATGTGGTATTGCCCTTTTTTTTTAACAGAAAAAAATATGTATTAAAGCAAAAAACTGAGAAATAAGAGCCCAAAGAGGGAGAGAAAAAGAAAAAAAAAGTTTAAAAAAAAAAAAAGATTTCCGACCGACCAACCCATATTTTGGCACCCATGTAATAGCAGTAGGTTCAAAATTTCAATGAGAGCACATAAAAATAAGTTGAGTAGACTAGTGGCTATGCAATTTTAAAGTCAGAGAAAAAGGACTGAAATTTATACTTAATTGTTAGTTACATAGTATATATGAATGATTGTGTACTATGACGTTTGCAACACATAAAAATAATTTAAAAAGTGACATAATCTTGCTGAAAACTTGTATTCAGTAAAAACATTGCACATACAGTAGATATGGGTATAATGGACTATACATACATGTGACATCAAATTTAGACCAAAGTCTTGAACTCTGTCCTGTCATATATGGAACATGAAAAACTATAAAATAAAAAAAATATTGGCATGAGACAATGCTCATGAAGTGGTGTCCTTCCACATGCCAACTCACAAAATTTGATTTTGCATGCCTGAATGGTTCCTGAATACATTAACCTAACATCCACGCCTATTTATTGAATGAATGAAATTCTTACCTCAGCAATTGCGACCTTCTCTTGAGCGACATATCCAGACACATCAATCATCTCCATCCTGTCGCGTAGTGGTTCTGGTATGGTGTCTGTGATGTTCGCAGTGCAAATGAACAGCACCTAGCCAAGACAATGAACATACAAATTCTGATACCAACATCCAAAATTTTTACAGAATTAATAAATGCTTCCCAACTATCACATCATCTTAATAAAAAATGATATTGCCTCTGCCCTCTGGCACCATATTTGACAGAAAGAGGAATACAAATTTCACTGATGTACGCAAATGTCTTCACCAAATAGCAATAATCGCATTTAAGCCCAAAGCCCACAGCTACTGTAGTTTTAAACATATGCACTAAAAACAGACTCATTAGCAATTTTAACAATACACAGAGACCTATTTTTCTTCTTCATAACTGAATGAATTTAACAAAAATGAAAATAAGAAAAGGTAAAAAATTATAAACTTTGCTGAATCTTAAAGCCTGTCTGCACTAGTTTGGCCAGAGGGGATTAGACCTCCCTGCAAGGTAACTGACAGGTGGTTATCTCATCAAATCAGCTCTCAAGTCATAAGAAAAAGGGGATCATGGGGGACCAACAGGCACCGATTAGGCATTGTTTGCAATATAGAGGGTGCAAGTGAGGCTTAACTAAAGATTTGTCAATCAAATCACACTCTTTGCAACGGGCTACAGGCTAGCCTGAATCCTCTTCTAACAAATCCTATCAAAATGGCAACACAAGGCTCAACACTGAGCATCCTAATAACAAGCTAATGGTACACACCTTGGACATGTCAACAGGAACATCAAGGTAATGATCCAGGAAGTTTGCATTCTGCTCTGGGTCTAGAAGCTCCAGGAGAGCTGATGATGGGTCGCCTTGGAAACCACGTCCTATCTTGTCAACCTTTGAGAAAGAATGAAAGAAGAAGAACATTTCAAGAAATATAAGCATCATATTATATTATCAAACTTTCTGCTCGGCATGAATTCTATATCACAAGTAACAATGAGAGCTTGCAATAAAACTGCATTTCTAGAGAAATTGTTGAAGAAGTACTTTTTAACCACTTTACTTGATGAAATTCCGAAATATAAAGGGCTTGTTTGGAAATGCAAGTGTTGATGTTCCGATAAGCTAAATGAAAACCGTATGCACTAAATGGCAATAAGTACAAACAATAATATTTGGGACGGTATATAGGTAGAATGGATGAATTTCTTAATTCATTCAGCAATTACACACTTTCTATCGAGTAAATTTTGCCCAAAAATAACTTAGGGGGTATATCTTCTTGGAATAGAATGGAACCTATCTCACCTCTCACAACAATTCAAGACAATTATTTCATATCCCATTAACCAATTAGCAACTCAAGATTTTATAGAAATGGCATATTACTCACTCTCATTTTGGCATTACTATAAAGTAAAAGGATGGGCGGTTTAGTTGCTGAAGGGTTAACATATAAGCAGGACTTAAAATTCAACAAGCAAGATATTATATTTACCTCGTCAATGAGAATAAGTGGGTTTTCAGTTTTGACCTTCTTCAGACACTGGATGACCTTTCCAGGCATGGCTCCTACATACGTCCGCCTAGGTGTGTCATAACAAAAAAGGAAGAAATCTCAGATATAAAGGTATATGTACAAGATTCACCAGAACCTCATTATTACGAGGTCCTTGGACCACGGAAATTACGTTGTTATATCAGGATTACAAAAGACAAAAATATAAAGAGCTGGGACCAGAAAAATCACCTTGTTATAACAGAGCTCTTTATAATGAGGTTCCACTGTAAAGCTTCAAAAAAATTCTTAAGTGTGATAACATTCCATCAAAGGCATCTAAAAACTATCGTAGTTGAATGCATGTAGTAAAAGTATAACAAACTGCTGTTTGTATTGTTGGGCTTACAAAACTGATTACTGTGATCTGGAGTTTGTTGTCAAAGTGAGACAAATATTGAATTCAGGTTTGCTATGCAAACTAGCCTTAACTATGGATTCAATTCTCTTCAGCTCTCATTGGGGTTAGGGTGGGGAAAGAAGAAGAAAATAACATAGTCAAACCTGCTTTAGTGACCGCCTGTAGAGAAAGACCACCTGTTTATAAAATACACATCTTTAATTTCCCCTGAATGTGGTTTCTCATTGAAACCTGTTCTGAAAAAACCTGCACAGAAAGACTACCGGTACCTGTCTATAAAGACCACTGTTCATGTTTCCCTTGAGCGGTCTTTATATACAGGTTTCACTGAACTACTAACCTATGTCCTTTGATTTCAGCAACATCTGTCATTCCTCCAACACTAAATCTGAAATACTGAAAAGATAATATTTACACAAACTTATTACAGATCACTTCTTGATGTTGTATATATGCTCCTATCATAAATCTTAAATTGCTTTCAAAATTGTGTGAACAGATGTATATACCTGTTTATCATTCAGAGGAACATTATATAAAATGTATCAACAGGCATATTTATACACTAAAATCATTTTTGTTCCCTTTTTAAATAGATTTCATATTAAAGGTGGATCAATTATCATGCATTTATTTCATTATGAGATGAAACAACAGCAACACAAACAGCACCAACATGGGGGCATTTCAGATGTCTTATCAGTCGCAAGTAGTATAAGGGAACAGGTAATATTTCTTGTTGAAGCTCTACAGCTCTCTCCCTACCATACCTCTCTGTTCAGTGCACTTGCTATGGACTTGGCTATACTGGTCTTGCCAACACCTGGAGGTCCATAGAAACACAGGATCTTTCCTTGCGTGGACTTCTTCAGTTGACTTACAGCTACAAATTCCTGCAGAATAGAAGTGAACAATGTATACACTATCAATGATTTAAAGAAAAGCCTCACTCTGTATCAGGTCTAACTGTCTCTAATTCTCTATCTCTCTCTTCTTCCAATTTTCTCCTCACCATTCTCTACCACATCACAGCGATGTCAATCACCAGTATCAAGACCATGACATTATTTAAACCATAATGATCCATTTCGTTAGGTTTCTCTGTGACCTTTCTAGAGCCAAATCATTATCTGCTTTAATTTTTTAAATTTTTTACTGCATGTCTGTTTGTTGGACTGTGTGTCTCCCTTTTTGTCTGTCTCTCTCTCTTTTCATCCATCAAGTCTTTCTATCCTTGCTGTTACCTTTTATCATCAACCTCCTTCTTTACCCCCTCATATTATTCGTCCCTCCCTCCCTCCTCCCCATTCCTCCCCATTCCTCCTGCCTATCACTTATCAGGACCTGTGTCCCTGTTTTGTGTCGTCCATCCCCTAGTAATCTCCCCCCCTCCCCTTCTCTCCCCCATTCCCCTCCAGCTCATCCCTGTCACATACCAGTATTCTGTTCTGTTCTTAACACCATCCATCCCTAATAATCCTCCATTCCCCCTCCCCATCCACTTCGACCTCATCCCTGTTCTTAACATCATCCATCCCATAATAATCCTCCATCATTCCCCCCTCCTCCTCCTCCCCCTCCCCCCTCCTCCCCCTCCCTTCCGACCCCCCTCCACTTCCCCCCTGTCACATACCAGTATTCTGTTCTTAACATCATCCATCCCATAATAATCCTCCATCATTCCCCCCTCCTCCTCCTCCCCCTCCCCCTCCCTTCCGACCCCCCTCCACTTCCCCCCTGTCACATACCAGTATTCTGTTCTTAACATCATCCATCCCATAATAATCCTCCATCATTCCCCCCTCCTCCTCCTCCCCCTCCCCCTCCCTTCCGACCCCCCTCCACTCCCCCCTGTCACATACCAGTATCCTGTTCTTAACATCATCCATCCCATAATGATCCTCCTCTAGAACTTCCCTTGCTCTCTTCAGATCCACATTCTCCTCACTGTACATTCCCCATGGCAACGTGGTCAACCAATCCAAGTAATTCCTTGTAACACTGTACAGAGAGAGAGAGAGAGAGAGAGAGAGAATCATGAACATGGTTAATAACATTTTGATGTTTTCTAAGTAATTATATACAACCAATACCTTCCTTAGGATAGTATCATATAGGCAATTACTTAAAAGACAGGAATAATGAGCTCTACCAATTGGTAAAGATCTGATCTGGGAAAGAAAAAAAAAATCATCAAACAATCTTTTGGGGATGACTCCCTAATTCACTCCATCTTGAAAACTATATTAATACATCTGGAAGTCTTGAAAATCAGTACAGTTACGAATACTACTGTCCCCTCCAATGAGTACATACCTAATGAGCACAAATATGCTGGTGCCAATGGGATCGAATATCTGACTTAAAACTAAACAAACACAAACATGAATATAATGAATAAACACAAACATACCTGAATTCTGAAGAATGGTTGTCCAAGAAAGAGAGCTTATTCATTTCCTCCTCAATCACATCCATGACTACTTTTGGAACCGTCTTGTCCTGTGTGCAGAGGATCAAAATGAGATGTTACCAATCAAAATGTAGAAGGCAAGATATAATACCATGTATACAAATATCATTGTATTGAAAAATCCTTTAAATTACACTCCAATAAGAAATTTGCAAAGTTATACAGATCAAATACCAATCATTCAAACAAATACATAATGTGCAATGAATCAATATCATGGTAAATTTAGATATTGTTTACTTCCTTCAATGCACTTATTTCCATATTCAAGGAATATGGTAAAGCAAAGAAAAAGAAAATCTGCATGAACACAGACAATTACTGCCAATTGCAATCAATACAAGTATGGGTTGCATTGACAAGAACACTCCAGTAACTACTGCTCTGCAGCCAATTTCATGCAGGAACTTCAACCCTTTGATCTAACCTTAATCTCACCTTAATCCCCAATTACAAGCGTAATCCTATCACTACGTCTTGGATAAAATAAAGCCCAAGATGTCAGAGCATGTCAGATGGAAGGGTGTGGCACTGACCTTTAACCTTTCCCTGAATTTCTCCTCGATGGCATCCTTGTCATCTTTCTCCAGACCGAGCTCTTTCTTGATGATCTTCAGTTGTTCTTGTAGCATGTACTTCCGATGGGCCGATTTCACCTTGTCCTCAACCTGTTAAAAGCACAGAATCACAAGCAAAGGTTTTTCCATTAGGGGAAAATCTTATAACTATCACCAGGGTGCATATGTGCTTGTCCACAACATTTATTAAATTACTATACAATTCTGCATAATCTAATAAAACATGATTTAAAAAAAAAAAAAAAATTTATTGATTGATTTTTTTTTTTTAATAATTTTTTTAAATATTTTTTTTAATATTATTATTTTTTGTTTAAATATATTTTTTTGCATTTTGTATTTATTTGTAGACTAGGCTGTTTTGCCTCTAAAGATTACATACTACAACCGCCTGATAGCTTTATGGTAAGTTAATCAGTATGGTGGGGTGTCCAAAGAGGAGTTACCAAGGACTAAAAGTCCTATTGGTGTAGTAATTTAAAGAATTATTGTCATCGTGGATAGTTTTCCAGTTGTAGTTGACCTAATAAGATGGGAGTATCCCAGGGGTAGTTGTTGTTTGTGATTATAGGGGGGGGGGGGGGGGGGAGGGGCTGTGAGGGGGAAGGGGTAGTTGGCTAGTTGCATCACTGTTTTCATTCATGGAAGAGCTGAGTTTTTACCTCCCTGCCAAGTCTTTGCTGCAGCTTGCTGAGTTCATATTCCTTCTTCAGGAGATTGAGAGCAAGGTAAAGACGTTTTGGTATCTGTAAGAAAGAGAAAAGCAACAACAGATGATCAGTTCACATAATCAAATTAACGTAAAGCGCTTAGAGACATCGTAGATGTATTACCGTAAGTGCTATATGAAGCGGAATATTATTATTATTATTGAATTTCCAGGTTTTCAATGACCTAGTGGGATAGCTGTTTTTGAAAGTCATTCATACATTTTGACCTCAAAGGTATTGCTACTGTTTCTGATTTGTTTTTTGTCTCGTTAATTGTATGTTTTTTATTGTCCGTCATGTTTTTTTTTATTCCGTAATTTTTTTCCTCAAAATTAAGTTATAAATGTATAATTTTTAATTATTATTGTGCAAACCTACATCTTACAAGCTTTTCTTTCAAGTAGGTTCGTTTTTTTAATTTCCTTTTACCAATTTATTTTGCATTACAATGACTAAAAATATTTCTCAAAGATTCAATTTCAATGCTCATTTCTGTTATGTCATTACGTTTATTATTGTCTGTCATTGTTTATATTATGCAAAAAGAAATGAAGCAAAAACAAATGAAACATAAATTCGCTCTCTATATAGAGGGAATACTACTACTACTGAAACTCTAGATCTACATATTTGATACTCACATCAGTTTCCTCCAGAACTTCTTGTAGTTCCTCCGGGTCAGCTCCAGTCAGCGCAGCTCCTAGAATGAAAGAAAAAGCCAAAGAAAATAGGGCTAGATTAAATCCTTTTTATATTCTTTTTGGACAAATAATTAAAAATTGCAGCTTCTATTTGGGGTCAGTTTAGAGAATTACAAGTACAGCAATCAAAACAGTTTTGAAAATTTATGATGTATTTTTTTGTTTGTTTAAGTCTGCTGTTTACAATGTTGATACTTTGTGTACCAGGGTAGGTACAGTGTATATGAGTTTGTATAATTAAACTTCTGGAGGGTGTTTCACAAAGACTTTAAGTTGGACTTAACTATGACAAGCCATTCATGCCACTGGTGGCTCTTACCATTGGTCTCTCAATTATTGTCCTTAGATAATATTTTTTCCTTCAATAATGAACTATTAAAAGATGTAAATTCTGTAGATTTGTGACCATGATTTGTACGGTCCTTGAGAGGCCACTGCCAGTATGGTGAGCACACACAGTGCCTTGAACAGCCTGCTATAGTTAAGTACAACTTAAAGTTGATATTAGTCTTTGTGAAACACTTTCCAGGTATAACAAGGCAAAAACCGTTTTCTGATTTTGTAAAACATCTATGTCAGAAATTGCCAGGAATTAAATGCTACCTTTCACCTAGTCTATTAACTCATTTTTGTGATCTATTAAATTTCATGGATTTTTTTTGGGGGAGTAAACTTTTGCATGACATTTCGTTATTTTCACAATATTTTCAGACTATGTGGAGGAAACCATCTTCCATGGGAATAATCTTCACAATCCTATTTCGAGAAGGATTAAATAATTATTGATTAACCATACATACACGGGACACATAAACCTTATAACCAATCTAAACTTGTTCTCACCTAGGTCACTCAGATACACCGGATTATCTATTACTCTGTGGCCAGCTTGGATCATCTGGGCTACAGACTCCCTGAAATAAAAACAAAATTAAAAAGGAAATATATTTTCATCTCTGTTTGACTATGGTTGTGCAATTGAAGTATTTCCACATAGGTTCAGATCACCAAATGTGTCATATTTTCAACAAAACTGAACCCTGGTGGGCTCGGTTAAATAAGACACTAATTCTAGGAATGTTCCTCTAGGAGGGCATAAAGTTGACCTACTGAAATATTTTCTCTTTGGATCCAGAAGGGCGTTAAACTCACATGCTTTCACACATAGTTAACGTCCTTCTGGCTCCTAACAGACTATATGAGGTTAAACACATTTTCTGAGTGCTTGGTCTGTACTCTTTCAGATCAAGGTCTAATCAATACTTTATATACAATACTCGGTTATACAAGAAAGGAGGAGAAAAGAGTAACTCTTTATAATTCACCGGTGGATTACTTATTATTAATCAACCCATTTGATCTCAAAGTGATTAATTTAAAAAAAATAATAATAACAAACACTCACCTGTAGAGCGGGTTCAAAGCAATGATGTCTCTTATTGTTTTTACTACCTCCGCTGTCAGGGCCTGAAACACAATTGAAAAAACATTTTAATCATAGTTATCCAAACCATATATATCATGAATTAATGTTAGAACTTTTGCCCTTTACCTCTCCCCTCTAAAATCAAATAATTTCATCTATTAAAGCCTATCTGAACTAGTTTGGCCAGAAGGGATTAGACCTCCCTGCATGGTCACTGACAGGTGGTTATCTCATCAAATCAGCTTTCAATTTACATAAGAAAAAGGGGACCATGGGGGACCAACGGTCACCGGTTAGGCATTGTTTACTTTATAGAGAGCGCAAGTAGCTTTAAGTAGTGCAGTGGTGCTTTAAAGCTTATAGTTATGTCATGTTTGGTTAAAATATGAATAACCTGGAAGTAATGCCTCCAGCATCAAGGTCGCAGAGTCATAAAATCACAACATCACCATCAGTAATCCTACCTTGACTTCCTCTGTCGTCTTGAATGTCTGATGTTTCACATTCTCCACCTCCACCATCAGTACTTGATCAGGGTATGACTGTGATTCTTGTTCCTCCTCGGGCTCGGTGGAAACATTCTCATTCTCATCCAACGATGGGGCCTTGTCTTCCTGAGTCTCACCATCTACTCCAGAGAGTGCTTCCGGGTCAGCTTCAGGAGCAGTTTCTGGGTCAGCTTCTGGGACAGCTTCTGAGGCAGTTTCCGGGACTGCTTCTGGGTCGGCTCCTGGGGCAGTTTCTGGAACAGCTTCCGCGGCAGCCTCTTGTACATCCTCTGCAAGACCTGATATCCTTATCCTAATTCAGACATATTGAGAAATAAAATAAGGGGAAATAGACAAGTTTTTTTCTATTACCGGTACTAGTGCAGCTCATGAGAAAGCAGGCCAGACCTAACATTTTGTATAATTACAGACTGACTGACTGAAAAATTGACATGAAGTTGAAATACCACAAACAATTAAGCTCTTCTCCATTGAAATAATACAAAATGAAACTGTTACCGGTATGTTGAATATCTGGAAGAGATCTAAGAAAAGCATCTGAATTCTGGCAAAGTAAATCTTTTGATGGTGTTAAAGCATTGAATAAGGCCCCAGTACTTTAGCTTAGTATAATTATAAAAAACAATTTAGGCCTTGACCCATTCTCTGTGAATAACTATGGTCAAGAGTCATACCAGAGTCCAAGCTTTGAAGATAATCACATACCTGCGATGACCCATGAGCACCAGACGAAGACGGTCACCAAGGTCCTGCATCTCATGGATCTGCACAAACGTTCCAACGCTATAGACAGCGTCCAGGTCAGGTATGATCTCCGTCTCATCTCTGAATAATACAAGAAAGTGAAGAAACAGAACATTTCATGGAGAACTAGCTGAGCTTGTTATTCATATAAGGAGACCTTGTTCAAATGATCTATCAGGTAGTCTTTTCCATACAATAATTCTTAATACCGGAAGTCGTTTTCAAAGTTTCAATAAAAGTAAGCGTCAAACAAAAAAATAAACAATCTTTACCTATATTTTTAAATTAAGGATCATGCAAAAATCATCCATTGCAAGGCATATCTTAACGCCATCCTAGTCCCCCCAGCAGACATTAGTAAGATACATTTCACATTTCTACATTCTCATATTTTATTTAATGTATTAAGAGTATTTATCTTATTAACTAATTTTATCTTTAACAATGTAAAAACTTGCATTATGGCTAATATGTCTAAGTCTAATGAAGTTGAAAAAGATGGTGTCATACAATGTTAATCTCCTGCTCTAATTATATTCACCCAACTCATTTGTCAAACAGTCTAAGTCTGCAGGTATTCGGTAGGTATGTCCTCATCATCTCGAGTTTATAGCCTGCTATTTCTGATTTGGGAAATAAGCCTGAAGTTACAAATCGCGTCTTCATCAGTTCGAGACTCGACCTCGAAACTCCAGCTTGAGAAATTAGCTCGAGATATTTTGCTCAGCGTTCGCACATAGTGTGAGTCTTTGGGCTGGTGAAGACACACCAGAAAAATAGCGGGATATTTTGCAAACTAGCCCAAAATATCTTGGGATGATTATCTCGACGTAATATCCCGCCAATTGGAACTGCATGCGGATGAAGATGCAAATTACCCGGTAGCTGGATAATTTGAGATCGGGATAGATAAAATAGCTGGTTATTTGGCAATCTCGAGCTGATGAAAACAGGCCTATATAGTACTCACTTGTCATCTTTCCTCAGAAAAACTCCTGCATAGGGTTGAGCTAATCTCAGCTTTCTCCTCAAGATTTCCATTAGAGGTTTGTTTGTAACCTTGTAGAAACAATATTAAAAGTGAGAAAAAATAATAATGAGTCTTATACTCTTATACTTTTGTATAGAATTTTTGAACAAATTTTAAACAAAAACCAAAAACACAAACAATATTGTAAACAATAATCATAACATATCATCATTTTTATACTTCAATTTTTAAAGATCTAATTTTTAAAAGTATCAACTCCCAGATATATTCATAACCATGCATTGTAATAGACCAGTTCACGGTTAGCACATTACTGCAATGACCCCGAATATCCACAGATCTTCAAAACATGAAAAGGTCCCACTTTGTACATTTTGAAATAATCACTCCTACAGCGATGGAGGGGCTATATAAATAGCATTTGTTTCCTCTTTTCAAAGAATACTTCCACCTGTGTATCATGAAGTGCACTGAATGTGCATGAATGCATAATGTTACATAACTTTCATGAGCACGTATCCAGAATATCGCCTCCGTGTATTTCAAAATTTGTTCTGCAATGACCTTTATCTGCTCATGCTCAGACTGCAACCGTGAACTCGCTTATTAGACTAGTACGACGACAACACTACTTATTATCATAACAAAGGCAACAAAATACAATTACAATAAATATATAATAAAATTAAAATCCAATTTAAACAGACATCTTCTGGAAGATATCATACCAAATTCAAGCAGGACAGAATATTGGTACCAACCTCAATTATTTTGATAAATTTAGGAAAGACTGGATTTCTTGGGACGGCAATCAGCGGCACTGGAGAAAAGTCTTCGGGGATCGTCATGGGACTAAGGGAGACCATGGAAGGAGGTGGATAGTCCCCTCCATCCCCTGCTCCATCTCCACTTGAAGGGCTTCCATCCTCTCCTCCAGATCCATCTCCACTGGATGCCTCTCCGTCTCCATTCCCCGATCTTCCTCCGAGTCCACCGTTCCCTCTATCGCCATTCCATTTCCAAATCGATCTTGAAAAAGCTTTACTGGATGGAGACACAAAATGTTCTTGTTGTTCTATACGTGCATCAAGTACACTGAGACTTGCTATGTGTCTATTGCAGAAATCTGTCCTAGTTAAACGTCTTGAAACATCAGATTTCATAAGGTTACTGCTGGGTTTCGTTCTTCCCGGAGAGAGTGGATTAGTCCACGCATTGCCGCCTGCTCCGCTGGCGTGGCCTACAAGAGCTGTCCGATGGGTTATTGGTCTCGTCGGATGAACAGCGACAAAAGAATTCCTCCATGCACATGATCGCAGTCTGTTAGAGATATCATGTAGCCGAAAGGCTCTAAATTTGCAGTATGACATCTTGGTGAAACACTTAAAAACATGAAAAGCTTCAAAACAAGCAATTTTCTAACATCTCATAAGCGACTCAATTCACACATGTTCGCGTATGCCCAGAGCAGAGAGATCGCACTTGAAAATAGTGATGTAATAAATTCAATTTCGTAAGTTGCGTGCATGTCATTTTGTACGCATGCTGCTAAACTACAAAAATGATGCTCCCACTCCCAGAAAATATACTTCTTTCTTCGAAGCTTATAAAAATGTTGTCTCAAGTTTGCTCATGCTGCTGTCCCGAATGAAAATAGAGGATAACAAAACAGAAATAAAGTTTGACAGTGGTATTACAAAATCGTGTTACAATCAGGGAGGTGTTTTAACTCACATACCCTGTTACAATCGACCAAATAGTGTTTGGGTAACAGATAGGGGTGGGGGGGGGGGGGGGGGGGCTATTCCCTTATTTAATGGTGATCGCTTTTTGAAATGTCAAATGAGGATAAAAAATATTTTTTTGTTGCCCATCCAATGTTTATGTACATTCCAAAATATTTGAATGACAGCCTTCAAGACAGCTTAAAGCCCTACCTCTTTGCTCTTTCCAGCCAAGCCTTCATTTTCTTCAAGTCACACTCGTTTACCCTTTTTCTCACTAACCTCTTAACCTCATATTAAAAAATGAGGATGGTAATTTGTCAATAATTTATGTTGCCTTCCTTCCATATAAAAATGTTCTCTCAGTCATCCTCGAATGAAAATAGAAATCAATTTTTCACATTGGTATTACAATTCGTGTTACAATCAACCAAATAGTGTTTGGGTAACATATAGGGGGGGGGGGGGCGATTCCATTTTTTTAATGCTGATCGCTTTTTGAAATGTCAAATGAGCAAAATATTTTTTTTTTTTGTTGCCCATCCAATGTTTTTGTACCTTCCAAAATATTTGAATGAAAGCCTAGTAGCTTATAGCCCTACCTCTTTCCATTAAAACGAGAAAAACACAAGAAAGTTTGTTATAGTTTGCTATTTTTACATTTTACCCAAGTCACACTCGTATTACCTTTTTGTATCCTTTTTTAATCTTTTAACCTCATATTCAAAAAGGAGGATCGTAATTTTTTAATATGTTGCCTTCCTCCCATTGTAAATTGATTTTGAAGCGAAAAAGCACAAAATATGTAGACCCGTGTTTGATGTTGATAATGTTTGATGAGCATAAAAAGAAGAGTCTCGACTATTGTAGAGAGACGGTATCACCCGTCACCCCCACCCCCCCCCCCACCCCCTCCCCACATCGCAAATTTGTTTTGCGATTACTGAAAAGAGAAGACTATCCACTTAAAGGTACTATGTCCCATTTGCAGGCCAACAAAATGAAAAAGTTAAATTCCAACTGCATTTGAAAGATAATACTAATTTAGAACTTCCCTAAAAAAGGTGGGGCTTGAAAATGTCTTCAAGTGGGAAAAACGACTATTAGTTGTCAAATCGACTTTAGGGCTATAGAGCCCAAAAGTAATAGTCTTGATTTTCAGACAATTGTACCGAATGGTCATATGTTTTATGCTGCGCAAAGATTCAATCAGTTTAATCTTGGCCATCACAAGAAGTGGGTTATTGATGTAGACAAATCCTCATGTACCCTTTACAACTCTTTTCATGTATGTTATTACCAAAGAAGAAAAAAAGCCAGTCAGTCACTCATTAGTGTCTGACAGTGAAGTCTAGCAAGTAAACGGGTTTCCTTGCATAATTTGAATATGAGGACACTGCTAACGTTTAAATTTCACAGATAGGACATACGTACATGACATATTCATAATTCCTGCAAAGTTATACAGCATTTGAGGTTGGCTGCGTATCAATTATCAAGTTTATTTGTCTTCCAGAAAACACATGTGACAAAATAATCATAACATTACAAGAAAGACGACTAGGAGACCTTAGTTGAAGCACAGCTTGTTAAGTTAAGGCCCCCTCATATGATGTGACAAAGATAACTGATTCATGAATACAAAAAAATGGAATATATAAAACTATTTACAAAATACTCTCAGAAAACAACTACCCAACGATGCATCGACCATAGCAGCAAGGATGACCACAACAAGTACCGAAGATGCGCACATCCCCATCACACCGGGTGAGCTAACTACAACAATATCTTATACAGAGTTTATAGTTTTTATTAAGATTTGTTGTTGTTGTTGTTGTTGAAATCTTACCTTCAATTTATTGTGTGTCGTTTGTTGCCAAAGAACCCGGCAAAGAACCTTTCTTGTAAGATATTCATATTCTTACTGTCTTCGGACTCTTAGTTGTAACATATCTTTGTATCTTTGTATCTTTGTATCTTTCTATTTCATCCATGCCCCATGTTGGGCCGTTTAAGAAATAAAACAAACCTTTAAACCTTTCAACGACAACTATGACTCGTAAAGCTACTGAGACCAAGGAAATGAATGTGTTCGATAAGATATGACAAATTAATCACATTTATTTGTAAACAAAATAAAACAGGCATATTAAGTCTTCAAATCATTTGCAACAGCGCCATCTGTACTTACTTAATTATCTGCAATGACGTCATCATGCCGAAGCTTATTCTCACTTCGAAGAATATCTTAATTTTAAGTTAAGTTTTTGACTGCATCTTTCACTTCAGATCAATAAATTATTCAATTTTGTAAATATATATAATTAAAAAATGTATATTTTGTAACCTATTGCATTGAATAAGCTGGATTGTATACAACTTGATCTATCTGATCATTCTGATGTTTATATCAGATTAGATAAACAAATAGCTGCTTTCTAGGTAGACTAGCTTACTTGGGCGATTCTGATCTGACTCTGTGCGAATGACTGACGATCTTGTCCTTGGAAAGTCGCATTTAGCCTCATATTTTCACATTATAACCTAAATATTGGTATCACAAGAATTATTAGAATTACGACTCCAACTTCTGCGAAGAACAAGAGTTTTAACGTCTTCAAAATGCTGAATTCAAAGCCTCTCGCCGCTCTTGCAATCTGCATTGTTGCTGTCTCCCTTCACATTTCCAGTGCACAAACACAGAGTGAGTATAGCTGTGTACAAGAATAATGTAGGCCTAGATCTAGATACAATTTACAATGCTCCACCTCCATGATCATGACTGGCTGTGTATTGAGTGTGTGTCTTGAACATGTTGATAGGATTAGGATGTTTATGCAGCTGTAAAAAACAAATTAAACATGTTGCTAACAGATAGATGTTGTTAAAATGAGATGACAATGACATGGTGTAATGATCAGTGAAAATACCTAAAAAATATTTCAAGTTGTCTTGTTTGAAGGAAAAAAGTTTTTATAATAATATATTGTCGGCTGCCCGTAAGAAGGGCGGTAGAGCTGTGTATTGTTGGTGGCAGTAACAGAATGCTCACAGGCAGTCTGCGGGTATAATGCGGTGTTAAGCATCTAATAATAACATATCATTTTAACAAATCTATTTTATTGTAATTTTTTTTACCACAAAAATAGGTGATTGTTTTGAAATTTTGATGTTACCCGGAACAGTTGAATTATTATTTCTTCATTTATTTGTAATGATATGAATGTCAATCGTGTTTGATTCTAAATTTGAATCTGAAAATAATATCGCTAACATTCCCTGTAGATTAAAATGAGTCGGACTTGCATATTAACATTGATTTTCATAACTGGATGATGGGCTACATGTGTAAGTGAAACATTTTAGTGAACATTTTTTGCATCTGCCCGAAATGATATTTCTTTACTTTGTTCAAAATCAATTTAGTCAACAACATTACAGAAGTCTCACTGAATGAAACAGGTAAGATGGGTATAAAAGGAAGTCATACATGTATCTGATTCTTCAATGCACCACCATGAATTTCTGTTCTTATGTGTTTCATTTACATAAATTCACAAAGTGTACAGTTGAAAACTGGACAGGAAAATTTACATTCTGAGGAAGTTGATTACAAAATTATCTACCAGTAATTACCCCCCCCCCCCCCACAAAAAAAAATGGCCATTATGGCAGTCTTCTACTTTCTGGTAGATTTTCTCCTCTTCCAGAGAATAATGATAGTAATAATAATAATAATAATAGGTCCATTTCATATAGCACAGCCAATATATAATATATACATTTACATACATGTACATACATATACATGTATATTGATATTTATATAGCACCTTTACATAAACATACTCTACTGTGCTTATTACAAAGTATCATACTACTACCCCAGCTGTACATGTACATTTAGCTAAGCTAAGCCGCAGTAATACTAATCATCATCAATCACATATTTTTTTTTACTCACATGACGTTTTAAAAGCCAATTATTAAAGAGGGATTACTGAGCAAAATCAAATTTGTAGATGTCCCATTCCAAAATTATAAGTTAAAATTTTGTTTCATTGTAATACTGTACATGTACATCATTTTAGGAAGGTGAATATTCATATACTTTCAGAATAAGAAAAGTTTTTTTTTATTTCTTACATGAATTCAATTCATAATGTTGGTGAATGTACAGGGTTGTATTGTTGTGGATCTTTTATGGGAAATACCCTTTCAATTAAAAAAAATCCCAAAGTGTATTTTCCCCCAGATTAGTTTGTAATATCTTGTCAAAGAAGTGAGACTGTATTTATGAAAATGGAATACTATCTGCTGGGACCCAAATCACCAATAGTAAAGAAATTCATGTTATATTACATGTATATTTGACACTGAATTAATGCCATTTTGGCAATCGTGAGATAGCCACAAGGGAGTGTTACACAGTAAATGTGTACCCTCTCCCATGATAGAAATGACTCAATGAATGCGTGTATTATCTTTTGAGTTGGTATCATTGATTATTTTCAGTTGGCATCATCCAAATTTTATGAGGCAGTAGTATGAAAATGTAAATATACATGTACAGTAATTGATGTTGTGGGTGAGACATACTGTAAGGGAAATGAAATATACTGGTAATGTACTCAGTTGTACAAGTACATGATATGTAAGTGTTGGTCTGTTTTAAAAGTACAGCTACATGTAAATCATTGTAAATGAACATCAGCTCGATTCAGCAGCTTTGTTTTATGTACAGTACATGTAGTGTACAGTATGAAAACAGATGCAATATCCAATGTTTGATGCTCGTCTTGTGATGTTGCTCTAAATGAGAAGGACCCCAGTCAAAAACTCGAAATAAAAACAAATTGATATTTTGGTGAGATTTTTTAGAATGTTTGTAGAGAATTAATAATTGTTGTAACTTGTACCTGTAATGGCAAGAAAGCTTCAAATTTTAAAAGTTACAGGTACTTTTATGCCTGACGAAAGTCATAGAAACCCTGACAATTTTTTTAAATCTCCATTAAAAAATGACTTTAATGGGGTCCTTATCATTCTCAGCAGATGGATTCTTGTAGCCCTGTACATGTTTGTGTACAGTGTACATACGTACAAATATGTATACTCCTCATCTGGAATTCCAAGGCCTGCATCATACTTCATGAAAATATAAACACATGTGTATGTACATGTCATGTAAATGTAGTTTGTAGAACTTAGATGAACATTTTATTTGGGACTAGAGGAAAGTACTTACATGTAATTGTATCATTGATTTATTTTATTTATTTATTTTTGTTTCAAGTATACAGTGGAGAATGAGAGCATGTATATACAGGTATTTTAGTTTAAGATTTAAGTGTGAAAAACATACACCAAATGGATGTTTACAATTGTCTTGTGTACATCCAAAAGAAGTTAAAAACTGAGAAAGAGGTGGAGTGGGATAATTATGAAGTACTGTACATGTGAGACTGTGGGTGTTTGTTGGGGTGGGTGTACTGTGTACATGTAAATACTGTACACAATGCAAAGATAAATCTAGTAAACAATGGTACAGGTATGAGAAGTCTGTTACATGACGAGTGGCAGAAGATAATGATTTGTGCTACTGTAGAAACAGATGTTGTACATGTACATGTACATTTAGCATGCTGAGAGAGAGAGAGAGAGAGAGAGAGAGAGAGGAGAGAGAGAGAGAAGGGGGGGGGCTGGTGGTGATGGGGGCTGGTGGTGGTGGTAATAATGGTAGTGGTAGTGGAGAGAGTGAAATAATATTTTGTGTGTGACTTTTTTAAAAATGTATGTGTTTTTTTTTCTTTAAAGATCAAGTTTGTATGGAAAATGTTTTGTCCAAATGTCCATGTACACTGTACATGCACTCTACATGTAAAATATCCAGTACGAAAATGACAAAGCCTAATTTGCTCAGATTATTCATAAATGGCTCTGTCTTGTTAATTGTAGCCCTTAGTAACAGTCACTCATACATGTACGTATACATTTACGTACTTATATTGAGATGGATGTTGCTGATGACGTGCTGTAATGAGTCATTGATGAGCCTGTTGTGAATTAGCCAAACATGAACCTTTAAATCTGTGGGCTTAATGTTGTCAGTCAGACTAATTAAGGCCAACAACAGTGTATTTAATAGCGTGTTCCTAAAGCACAACTATCAGAAGTAAGTTAGATGTAGTTGTAACTTGTTGGCAATTTTAAGGGCAGAATAATACATGATACTAACAGATGCTGAATTTGCTCAGACTCAGACATTACACAATGACCCACATATTGTGACATAAGGGAGCCATTAAGGTGTCCGGCTTTATGTACGTGTTCATGAAGGCTTCAGGTTGTAATGGACTGATTTAGGAAAACAAAAAATTGGAGGTTAAATATGAAGTCAAACCAATGCCATTCTGACTTCCAGAATAGTAAGCTTCAGAGATATGTAGAATACATGCAGATGATGTTGCTTTTAAGTACAAAGCATTTTTAGTACCGGTAGTGCACCTCTAGATATTTTTATTACAGGTTCTAGTCATGCAATTTAATCATTAAAGTAAAGCATCATCAAGTTGTTTACTACATGAATATGGGTAAAATAGACTGTAGCGACTTGGGCCACTGGATCTGGAACTACCAGAAATGCACATCTACATGTACATGTTCATGTACTTTATTTAAAGAGCCTCGAAAAAATATTGTAGCACCCAATATGTGCCCCATAAGGCCTTTTTTGTTGTTGGTTGGTTGCTTACATGTATGTAGTGTTAAAATTTGAAAAGATCTCTGGAATGAAAAGGTTTTATGTAGGCCTGCAACAGTTTATTTTGAGGGTTGGGTTGACTACTTGACTTACCAAGTTCACCATTAGGCTAGACAAATACATGTACAGCCATCTTCCTGTATTATCAGTTTGTTTCTCTTTCCTTTTATATACTGTATAGAGCTGTGTGCAGATTACTCTCACAATACACAGGAAAGCCCCCCACCCCCCCCCCCAACCAAGTATAATGGACAATATAAGTTTGTGTATTAAGTGTCAGACTTAATTGCTTATTCAGATGAAATCTACAGTCAACAAGAATCTTGTCTGACTTGTAAAATCCAAGGGTTACCCTATACATATGTTTGAAATCTGAAATCTGTATATAGTACATCCAGAATGCAAAATACCGGTAGATTGTACATGTAGCGTGTAGTCACCAGAGGCACATGATTCCCACAATGGTCTGGGTACCTGTGCATTTCATACACCCTTTTCTAACTACACTGAAGAAAAAAAGAGAGAAACCGGTCAGTGAAATCTTGAGCAAAAAACGATACAACATTAGAAAGTTTTGACTCTTTGAAGGTGCATTCAATCAAACACAAATTGGCAACTCTTTTCCCTGAGTTGCCAATTTGTACTAAAAAAAGATTACTTAAAATATTTTTCCTTCAGAAAAAAGTGTTTCTATACCACCCCTGTGTGAACTACAGGTATTCTATCATCAATAGCCTAGACAATGAAAGTTTATGTAATTCTCTGTACAAAGCAAATTGGAGAGGAGCTTGCAAGATACGTCACAGTGTTGCCAATTTGTGTTTCACTGCTGACAACTCCAAAAACTCACAACTTTCCTATTTTTCTTAATGGGATATTACTCTAACTTTCACTAATTTGTGTCTCTGAATTATAGAAAGGGCCCCCTGTTTCATGGGTAAAGATGAGAGGCTGTGCACTCTGCAATATGGAGATAACAACTTGGGGCCCGTTTCACAAAGCCTTTTTTCACTGACAAATGAAAAAAATCAGTGAAAAATCTGCTGATAACCAATCAGAAGCAAGGATTTCATTAGCTTATAACAAAGACTGTCATTTCTCACTGATGACAAGTTTTGTGAAACGCCCCCTGTACAGCATATTAAAAGTTTGCTGAGATCTAGAAACACAGTAGGCTCAATTCATGGAGTTAATGCTCTTCTAGCCCGCTCTCTTAGCAATGCATGTTTTGTTTAATAATTTTTATTTAAGTCAAGTCTACAGTCTGTACATTGAAGACTTGTGAACTGTGGAGAATGGGATTACAAAAAGAAAAACACAAGTATGCATTCTTACTTGTACATCTACTCATACATGTATCCAGTTAACAGTTGGTTTACATAATAAGGTCTCTATAATTACATGTATGCAATTTATGCAACAATGTGTGGTGGAGTATTCTCAGTTTTGATGAAACCTCAAAGGGTTAAATGTAGTGCAAAATGTGATGAAGCCACCTGTTCAAATCTATTATTGGTTTACTATGGAAATTTTATATTTCCTGTCCTCGTACATGTACAAGTATTATGGTCACCTACTGTAGATGTATGTACCTGTACATGTACTGGTACAGTATATTGTCTGTTGATGGTTAGAAGGGTGTTTACTCTTCAACCAGACAAATTTTGTCCTTTCTGACTTTCTTTTTGTCTTATCCAGT